CTCAGTGCTGAACTGTTTTGCTCTGCAGATGTGCTCCTATTAGTCATAGAACCATAGAATCGTCTAGGTTGGAAGGGATCTTAAAGATCATCTAGTCCATATAGTAAGGGTAGGCAGGCATAGCTCTAGGGTACAGCTGCTGCTTTTGTCACCGTAACAGGCTCTTCCAGTGTCTGTCACCAGTCCCATGCCTTCTTGGAGCCAGTCTTGCCTGAGTGTCCAGTTTGACTCTGCACTGGAGTCAATTCTGTTGGTTTCCATAGGCAGGGCTGAATGGAACTTAGAAAAGATTCTGTTCTATACCCGTGGCCAGACAGGACATGGTAAAAGCTAGCTGTTCAGTTGTCCAAATGTAGTCTGAAGCTCCCTTTTTACACTGTCTGGTGTGTTAGGCCTTGTATTGAACATCTTCTACTGTTTGTATGTCTGGTACTGTTAAATAGTTAATTATTTTATTCTTAAATTTGGAGCACAGTTACTTGTAATGCCTTAATTTCTGATCACGGTTTATGTCTTTACATATCAAATATGTTCTGCAAGTAATATTGCTGGACACCAATGCTAGTATTTGGGCTGTAACCCCCTTTTTACTAGTCTGTTCTCCAGCTGCATGTCAGTCAAGTATTCAAGCTCTGCGTTAAACTCCTTACTTTCTAGCCTTTGCGGCATTGCTTTAGCAAATCTAAGTCTCTCTGTCCCGGAAAATGAGTGGCGTGATTTAAACATGATGCCTAAATTATTAATGTGTAGGGAAAGTGACAAAGAAATGTTTTGCTTTATTTCCAGTAAAAAAAGAAGAGAAAGGAAACGCCTGATAAGGTCAATAGACTTTAGGTTTAAATTTACCAAATAGAGTATGTGTTTATGTAATTCGTAATCTCATTTTGAAATTCTTTCATAATATATTTTGGGGACCAAAAGCATAGATAGCCTAAGAAAACAGAGTCTTCTTGTGGATAGATGTCCACCTGTTAGTGATTTTTTTTTTTCTTTCTTTCCTTTTTTTTTTTTTTTCCCCTCGAAGCAGTGAAGTAATCTAGGAGTAGTGTCTTGCTCAGGAAGTCTTCAGCTGGCAAACATTAGAGGTTCAGGAGCAGTATCAAGGTGAAGGGGCGCTTTGAACCCTGGTTCTTAGTCTTTTCTCTAAAGGTCTGCTACTGTGTGCAGTTGGAGACAGATTGCTAAAAGAGCGGTTTTTGGATCTGAACCTGGGACAACTTTAGTTCTTAAAGAATAGATGACAATATCTTTGGTGCTGAGCATACAAAACCACTGGAGTCATCTTGGAAGCTTTAAGTTTTTAAGAAAGCGAATACTGGGGAGATTACCCAGTTCTGGAAGTATCTAGCAGGTAAGAAAAAGATTTTAGGGCTGCAGTGTGTGATTTATGCATGTAAACCCTGCGTAAATCCTGGTTTAGATCCTTCAGATTGTGAGGGGACGTGAGGGAAAGAGGGAGGGGGTTGTTTGCAGGACTGTGGGGCAGGATCAGATGGCTTTCTGTAGTTGAACTACCTGAAGAACCACTTCTTTAATGTCCAGCAATTTGTAGAATAGTGTGATTGATTGTCCTCTCACCTGTCAGCCAAGAACAGACATAAATATATGCAGGAGGTAGCAAATGAGGTTCTATCCTTACTGTCATGATTTTCTTAAATGTTTTTTAAATGATGATAAATAGTTATGATAGTGAGTCTTCTCTTCAAGGGAATAAAACCAATATCAGAATATGTAAAAAGCAGAGAGGTAGCCAGATGTTCTCATATGGTCAATTAAAAATTATGGAAATTGCTTCCTTTGCTCAAAGCTATTACAAAACATGATCTTTGGAGACAATGCAGTTCTCTGACTGCTGTCTGTTTAATTGAGAACAGCAGTTAGTCAGCATCTTCCAGGTCTGTACCCTAGGTTGGCTTTAAATTGAGTGGGGTATCTGAAGTGCATGAGGCAGTAATGGATTGGGATGGAGGGTAATTTAAGGGTTGACTTTTGCTGTTTACACTGAAGTAGAAGCTTCTTCTAGGGTATCCATAGGACTGCTGCAGGGCAGCAAGCTAGCGACAGAATACAGTGAGATAAAAGGGTAATAAATAGAATTAAACATTATTCTAAATGCTTGTCTTTAAACAGTACGTATTGAATACATTGAAGTTCCTTCATATAAGAACTTCATCAAATGGAGGGAGTGCTTTTTTTTGCATAGAAGCTGTGTGTTAAATGACTTATTTTGAAGTATGGGACAGAGGAACGACGTATTAAGTCTTTGTGTGTGATGGAAGTATCCGAGTGCATGAGATTTCTTTTGGTGTCTCAGTCCATTGGTGACATCTGGGAATCTATGAAGGTCTTTTCTGTGTTGAATTAATGTGCTAGAAACACTAAAATGAAGGTAAAAGAAAGTGGTGTCCTTGAGTCTGATAGCTTACAAACAGCAAAGGCCTTCTGTGTCTGCTTTCTGGATGAAAAATCCTAGAAAATATGGTGGGAGGGGATCTCAGGAGAACACATTTCATATTGCTGGTCCCGACCTTAAAAACTATGCCAAAGCTATTCCTGAGAAGCCTTTGACCTGAAAACCAACACTCGTGGAGATTTACTGGCTGTTCCAAGCAGTTAGTGCTTTACTATCTCCAATAGTTTTTCCTCATTTCCTTTGCTGCACCTCAGGTTTGTTACTGAGGACTCAAGTTCTGAGGAGAGGTGTAAAATATTACTGCTTTCTTTGCAGCTTCCTGGTATGTAATAGTACTGGAAATTACTCCCTTCAGTCTTTATCTCCACTAGATCGAGGAACCCTGCTTATTGCCATCTTTTTCGTACGTCCTATTTGCTAGACTTTTGATTGCTTCCATTACATCTGCCTGATCTATATCTCTTGAGTTGCAGCACCAAAAGCTGGGCTGAGGTAAGCCTTATTGGCATGGTTCTGTGCTCTGCAGCTGGCACTGGGGTGCCTTGGTCCCTTCGTGCACTGAACATGTCTGCCAGATCAAACGAAGGGGTCTCCTTTCCAGGAGAAGAGTCTAAAAGCTGAGTGCTGCAGTGTTCAGATCAGTGGTGGTGGAGTCTCTTGAGATGTGACCCCTAACTGCAGTGCTGAAAGGGTAAACCATCTTTTAGTGTTGAGTGATAACAAGCAGATATGGCCAGCAATAGCATTTATAAAATGCCACTGAAACAAATTATTTAGAAACGTCTGTTAGTAGAAACTAATTGAATTCTGTGTTGACTGGAGAATGTGAAGCAGGATGCAGCCAAGAACTAATGAGAGAGAGAATGAATTGGTGTGTGTATCCCCTCATCTGTTTTCCTTCTCAAAATAGCCTGTTTCTAGGGCCAGAACGGGTAGGAGTAAAATGATGGAACACCTGGACACACAAACACAGTGTGAGCATAATTATGTCAAAGCACATTGTTTATTGGCTGTAGGGTGTTGTTACAACTCCTACTTGGTAACACATAAAGCCCAGTGGTGAATGGTTTGAGTAAAAGGAGGTGTTTCCATGTGTTTTGGCATTCAGCAGTCATTGATCACAATCCAACCCTTACTTTTCTGTTGGTAACTGTGATACTTTTGAAGGCCGTGTTTGAAATTCCATGCGAAACGTGAATGCTGATATGTTTTTCTCATCAAAGTATGGGCTCAGAAGTCTCATCTGGGCCCAAATTCCAGTTTCCTTTTGGTGACAGGGATAGAACAACTCTGTTCAGCTGTGGTTCCTGAGTAACACACTGCAGATGTGGTTCACTTCCACTGCCCTGGAGTGCCTCCTTGCCTCCTGCTGGCCTAGGGATAAGATCTAGTCTCATTAGTATGTTCTGTCTTTATTCCACCCTATTGGCACAGAAGCAGAAGGGAGATCAATGCTAATGATAGATTATTGTAAAAAATGGATCATCTCACTAAACCAGCAAATGTTAAAAAACCCTCTTCTTAAAATTCTTTTGAGGATAAAGAAAGAAAATAAGCAGCGAAAAGCATGCACAGATGGATGTTATTCTGATAGTAACATGTTGTATTGAAAATGTTAGAAGGGAAAGAATGCTAATCATGCAAAATTGTAGACAGTGAGGTCACAAGGGAAGTACCGAACTGTAAAGGTTTTCCATTTGTGGACTAGCTCAAAGCTCTCTGATTTGACTAATGTACCATCAAAGATGTTCTGGCTTGGACCAGCCAGGCTTGTTATCTGTCATGTATGTAATTTTGCTACTATACTGGCACAATAGAGAATAGAGAATATATATACCAGAAATAATAATTTGTAATTGGAACTATGTCCTTTGTTTTCTACACAGGGAGAAAAAACAAATCAGAACTAATTTATATAGAGAAGTGTTTAAGAAATGTATAGAGTTATTGTAGAGTCAAAACATTTTCTTAAGAGCCACTGTTATTTTTATTTAAAGTTGAAAGCAAACCTTTTTGTTGGACAATAAAATAAGCATAGTTCAGGAGAGTCTGGAATGAGAGAACTGTTTAATTGCTATAATTGCATGCGTATTTTCTGCTGGAACATATTGCTGAGAAACCATAGGTGATTCTTCACTTCTTGACCTACTAACAACGCAATTTTTTAATAGGTCAGATTTTAAATGTGTAACTGCCATCTATGATTGTTTTAAAACTGGAGGAGTGAAAAGGAGGAGTTCTCACAGAATTTAATTCAGAGCTGTTACTCTAGGAAGAGAGAACAGATGAAAACTTTGAGCAAATTCTTTGGAGCCTTACAAAATTAAAACTCTGTGAAAGTGCTAGGAAGCCTGCAGTTTTGTCCTTGTCATAAAAGAAAGTAACTTAGCATCCTGGTTATCTGATGTTTTCCATTGTAGTCTTAGTAATTCATCCTTGAACAAAACAGACTGATATATTTTATGAAAAGGGGAAGAATTGTCTGTGAGGTGGATTTTACTTTTGTTGATCAACCTTTTTTCTTCTTCAGGTAAAATAGAACATTTTTGTCACTGTTAAGTAACTTTTTTTTTCTTTTAATTTCTAGCTGATAAATTTAGACGGAAACTGGAAGAACTGGAGAAAGAGAAAAAATCTTTAAAATTTCAGCTTCCTTCAAGGCATCCTTCAGTTAGCAGTTTTTTGGATAGGTTCATTACCCAAGTTCAAGCAGCATTACGCTGGGCTGCTGATCATCGGTAAGTTTGTTTATTCCTTATTATGTAAAGTGCCGCTTCCAGTTGTCTCAAAATGTGGAATACAATTTCTGAATAATTTTAATAAAGAGTTTTAAGGACCTTCTAACATATCAATATGGAGCTTGTTTATGAAGATCTCCCTCTCACCCCAACATTTTTTATTTTTGTTTTTTCTCTCTACAAGTCTTTCCGAATTGCCCTGAAAAGCGTCATTCATGAACTGGTGAATTACATGGAACTTTTTAAACTGATGTTGAGCAGGAATGGGATTGAATCCTCAATGCGGCAGCTTGAGCATATGACAGCAAGGCAGCTTGAGCGACGGTTCCCTGTACAGTTAATTCTGATGCTCCTTTTCATGCAATGAAAGCATATTTAAATATAAAGTAAAAACAGATCCTTTTTTGATATGAATAGACCTTTGGGAGCTTCCTTTTATGCATCGCTTGTTAGGTGGCAGTAACGTGCTCAGCACTGTACAAAGTCACAAAAATAAATTCTCAGCCTTCTCTTGAACTTCAAAGGTTGGGGGAATGCGAGATGCATTGGATGACCCAGGGGAGGTAGTTAGCTTAGGAAGAAAAAGTTGTCTCAATTTCTAGGTTTGTCTTCAGCTATGCTACTGGTTACTGTTGTTAGAGGATTCTTCATAGGTATTGGAAGCTGTCCTCAAATGCAATAGCACAAATGAAACAAAAAAACCCTTTTGTTTTCTGGCAGCTTGTAAATATAAAGGCTGCAGTGTGCTAGTCAATATATTTAGGTGTAATTTTTGATAGACATGAAAATTGGATAAAATCAGCACAGAAAATAGGATTTTATCGTGAATTTTGAGAATTTTAAGGGTATTTTTGGCCTCTATTTATATTATATAGTAATGAGGCAGGTTTAAAACAAACTGTGCTCCCTCAGAACATTTTTTTCTTCTACCTTCTGAGGCTCTAAGAAGCTGTTTTATCATTTCCGAAGGATTAGGATACAACATTCTGTATTTTGTCATTAAGACATGTTTGCTGTATGTATTAATAAGTAATAATGATTTTGGCTTTAGGGGTGGTGTTGTCTTTGGCTTCATAGAAATCGAGTCACTAAAGCGTGCTTGAAATACATAGTCTCCTTATTTTTTTTCCTATTTATTTTTATATATAAAATATATACATTTATGAAAGTGTTCCTGTTCTTTGGATGATTATATCTGCAACTCTTCCCTTTGCACAGGTCTGAGAGCAGTGCCATTCTTCAGGGTCAGATGAATATCCTCTTTGCTTTTCTGTCTTGTGCACACTCCTTTGAGCTTGAGTGTGACTGTTGTTGTGACACCCTTTCTTTTTCTTGCTTGACTCTTGTAGCCTTTCACACAACTTTGTCTGTGGTCTGACACTCTCGTTGATGAGGCAAGTGTACCCTTTATCTTCAGTTGGGGTGTTGAAAATTTTTCTGTTCCAACAGTATTCTTTGATATTAAAAGACAGAAAACATGACCACTTCTTCAAGGAAAATGTGTAGGCTTCAGTTTTTATTTTTCTTTTTGAATTGGAGCAAAGCCAATATACCCAAGGTTTCTTTTTTCACCTGGACAGTTAAAAAGATGATCAGACTAGCGACAGAAGACCAGATCATTGCAATTTTACTGTAGTTCAGCCGGTCTCATCTTTTTGCAAATAAACAACTTTTTAAATAAAAAGTGTGTGTGGCAGGTTATTTGTTCAATATGTGAGACTGAAATTCACGTCCTAGTTTTGTTTTACTTGATTGAATTATGAGATAAATCTTTAGGTGAATGCATTTGGCGTTGACACAGGATATTGGGGGCAGGTGGTAGGAGCCAGGTTTTGGTTATGTTTAGTTTGGGAACAATGCTGTGTTTGTGCAATCACCCAGGTTTGGTGAGATCAGAGAGAACTTGTCTCTGTTTCTTCAGTACCAAGTAGGCAGGTGTACCTGGGATTTCTAGTGAGATTCTGATAACCTATGTTTATTGTGGAATGTTTCCTAAATTTTGACCAGCCATTCATAAATTTCTATTGCATACAGTGCTCAGGAAGAGGCAGCTCTTACTAAAAGGCGGCGGCTTCAGAGCTGCTGGGAAGTGTGGCCGGTTGTAGCCAGAGCAATCTATAATGATTGTAAGGCACGCAACACAGTGATGGCCTAGCACATCACAATATGGGTGTCTCCTGGATCTATTTTCCCTGGAGGTGTTCAAAAGACGGGTTGACATGGTCCTCAGGAAGATGGTTTAGTGGTGTGTGTAATTTTTTTTAATTTTTTTTTTTGTCAGAGTTAGGTTGATGGTTGGACTAGATGATCTTTAAGGTCCCTTCCAGCCTAGACGATTCTATGATTCTATTTTGTTATTACAGAAATACAGTTGCACAGTAATTATGTCTATTTTAAGTATTAATGCCATTTATTTTAGTGCTAGGGTTTTATTTTGCTTTTTCAGTGCAGTCTTCAGCCCGTAGAGAGGGAGTATTTTCTCATGGTCCTGCAGAAAAGACAGGAACCTCTTGTTCTACACACTTGTTAAACAGCTGTGCCTGGAGATCATAATTGTGTGATTAATCATGCTTAAACCAGACTTGTGATGCATGTTTTGTATGTGGTATGGATGTATTTGCTTTGCAAGATTACAATGGGAAATCATGCTTCAAAAGTATTCTTTGTTTGAGACAGTAATTTTATTTTGTTTTTAACAAGATATTAAAATGTTTCTATACCCTTTATGTGGAAATGCACACACTTGTCTCTAGAGCTGGACATAGGAATGCAATTGCCTTTGCAAGTGTGCATGCCCTTGTGCAGGAATATGCAAAATAAAATAGGTTTGTGTTGTTTGCAGGTGCATTTTGAGAAGCTGATTATAGGCTTGACTGTTAATGTAATGCACTAATTACCTTGGGGTGCAAGGATTTACAGCTGAGGGTTGTACCAACCACTGTGAGGAATTCCACTGACTGCGATTTTGAAAGAACTCGCTGTGCAAGAGAGAAGTAAAATTTGGCATTGTGGAGCAAACACTCCAGATGATCTCTAATGTAGTCTCCAAAAGCTGACAGAAGCTGCAAAAATGGTTTTGGCAAGTTTCTAAACTTCTGTCTAAGAGAGTTTTCTCTTAGTTGATAGAAATTACATGCCTTAGTTTTGTCTCTTTCAAGGCAGTGATGGATAAATTTCTGAAATATGAAAAAGCTGGGGGAAGCCTAAAGCTATACAAGTTTTCCTTTTTCCTCCTTCAACGTGTTGTAAAAACAGTATAAATGTTTGAGATAATAAAGGAAGATATGCCAAGGAAAAATCTCTTGTTCTCTAACTGTATCTGTTTAAGATGTAATTGTTCTGGTGATGGGGTGTTATGACTTTGAAGGTAATATCAGAATACCATCTCTTTGAGACATCAGTACTCGGTGATAATGCTAATTTTACATTTCTGTCTTTTTTTTTTTTCTTTGAAGAGTTAGACACGAAGGAACCCATCTTTGGCATGAAAACGAATATAAACTTTTGAGATCCAGTTATGAGGAGAGGATGCAGCTTTCAGCCACAAAACGAAACCAACTTTTGCAAGAAAAGAAAAGGTTACAGGTAACAGGACTGCAAAGTTGTCTGTAAGAACCAGTGCTGTGTGGGAAAAGCTTGTAAGCTGTCACACAGAATTAAATAAATTTATTGTAATACTGACTTTGCTTCTGTGCAGCAATTAGAGCCTTGGCTGTAGTCCAGTTGATAATCTAAGTGATGATTGGAGATGGCAGCCACAGGAGTTGTGTTAATCTCATTACAGAGAAGCAGAACTGGAAGGCTTGGTGGTTTGTGTGCATGCTTTAACTTTCCTCATTATCTTTTTAAGTGTTCTCTTTATGTTCTAATTTGCCATTTTAATATTTCACTGATCTTCGGAAGTTTTTATTCAAAGACAAAAAGTTTTGAAGGAATTGATCTTTCATCCATTTCTGGTTAGAATTGACTATAAATACATGATTTACCAGCTTTTGTTCCTGAAAGATGATTGATGTATTTCATAAGGATGAAGGAATCATCACGGAGCAGTTGGCATTTGCCAACAATAACTTTGCACTGACACGTGATGTCACAATGTGGTAATTTGGCAAATGGAATGTTTTTAAGATGGCTTCTGTCCAATTTTAAATTTACAAGACTTTTAAGCAAAATTTAGCTCTTTCTTCTCAGAGTCCTTCAAAAATCTTAGCCTACTGTCCTAGTACAAGTCTTAATCCACCTCCTTTTAAACCTTGGTGATCACACTTGGCAGCGTGACATGCAAGAGAACTAGTATATCTAGTTTTCTTTTTTTCTTTTTTCGTGTTTTTGTCTTGAAATATTATTTTTGATACTTCTATTCCTTTGGTAGGTCTGATAGTATAATCCTCTGAGTGTGTACACATAAATATATACATCAAAAAGAAAGAAATGGAGAAAAGCATCTTAGATGGCCATTGCAAAATGTTACTTAGATGAAGAAATGTTTGGGTTTTATTTTATCCTAGTCATCATCTTTTGTATTCTTTGGATTTATTTCATAGATGAGGAGACATAGTCTAGTTCAACATTATCAGTGTTCACAAAACTATTTTGGGTAATCTAGACATTAGCCAGACACCTCAAGATGTTCAAACTGAAAACTGCTTACAGTTCCATGCCAGCTAATGTTTTTATACTTGTTCCAGGTGAATCTTTATTCCTACATAGTTGTACTAGGGGCAAATTAGTCAAATTGATGTGCAGGCATGCTATTTATGAGCATTTGATCAAAATTATCATGCATTCCAGGTTCTGGAGAAGGCTGACCTGTGATGTGTGGTGACACTGTGGTGGGAATTCTAGCATTCCCCAAGGATTGCTTCTGCCCAAAATCCGCCATGATCTGCAATCATCATTATTATTTTTTCTTTTTCCTCAGCCTATTTTCCTTTTCTTTCTGCCCTCTCTCCTGTTGGTTCTGCATTTGTCTACAGGGATTTGACAGTATCTAAAATTTACGTTTTAATCTTTCTACTGCAATCTGTACTTCATGGAGAACACCAGCCATAAGTGAAGCTGGAGGTTTGCAATCAGTACTGATTAGCTGTTGTTCAGAAATTTCAGTTTAAATTCAAATCCACAAAGTAAAACTCCATCTTATGTTTAGTGAGCTGAATATCATCTGCTGCTCCATGCTGAGACTTTTAAGTCCTTTCCTTCTGTCCTTGGAGGCTGACTGAGAATGCATTAAAGGCCTCTTGGAACTTCTGGAAAAGCACACAGGAAAATTCCAGTTTACTGACTAAAATTTCTATTCTCCCAAGAATGCCTGTGAACTATTCCTGAGCAGAACAGCTTTCTTTCTGTGAATGCAGATTATGTGCTTCTGTTATCTATTTATGTTGTAAAAACATTTCAGTACTAAAAGTGTGTTTGTAAAACCATATTCTGTTCGTCTCCCTTTCTTTTCCCATGTAGGTTGCTTGTTGCAGTGATTGCAATTACTACGTTTTCACAGAATATGAAGGTCTTTGTATTAAGTAGGGCCTATTAAGATTTTGGCAGCATTCCCAAACCAGTAACACAGAGACAGAATTGTCCTTTGTGCTCACTAAAAGCCTAATTTGAGACTGAAAGAAACAAAACTGATGGTTTTGGCGTGCTGACCTTTCTGTCCTTGACAAATGCCTGTGGGTTGAAACATGGGCCACTCTGTTCTCTTGTCTCTAAATCTAAAACCAAAAAAGGAGGAAAATAATTGATGAATCGAGGGTGCAGCACTAATAAGTTGAAATTTTTGAGCCAGTCAACCTTTTAACATGCAAAGACTGTTTCTTCTTGTTTAAAGTGATACTTAGGCAGCTTGTAGTGCAGCAAACCTGAAAGTATGTTTTTTTACAAAATGAGCATTAATGAACTAAACTTCACTTAGATTACATTGAAAACATTAGAAGAATGTTAAGGTTTCAACATGAAGCACTCAAAAGGAAAGAAAAGCCGAAGTCAGTTATCTGTGTGTAGTTTGTCTGGTTTATGAGAGTCTTTCATTATATAAGCATGCCTTTTTTTCCTGGATCCCTGCCTCATACATTGCTGAAGATGGAAAGTGCTTGTTCAGATATTCAGAATGGCATTTTATCTTCATTGCTTGGTATTCGACCCCAAAACCTTTTTACTGTATCCACTCAAACACTCTTTTCTATGCAGATTTATTAATATGTGAATGGGCTCATTTTACAGCATTAAACAACGTGGCATCTGAGTGATTCAAAACCACTTAGTTCTATCTCTGTAACATCTCTTCGGGTGAAGAGATATTCTTAGTTCCTTTTACAGATAGAGAATGAAGAACTGAATTGCCATAAAAAGCTAAAAAGCTGCATGGTTGTTTCTAATATCAGTTTTGTAATGCCTAGTTATTTACCTGAAAAAGGTTTTGTGGTGTTTTTTTTTTTTTCATTTTTCTTTTTAGCTGAATTGAATATGGTCAGAGCATGGAATTATGAACTTGGATTTCTGTTGAGAGTCTATAGATAGCACTTCAGAGACCTCTCTTGTTGGTTGTATGAAAAATGGTGAATATTCAGTCTGTGGCTGTATATTGAGATAATAGTTTAAGTGGCTTGGAAGGTTTCACAGAGACTGTAAGAAATGTAGGAATAGAATAAAATTCTCTACTATGGTATTCAACTACTTTGATAACAAGTAGCCCTCCTTTGAATTTTTTTTTTCTTAAACTCACTTTTCAAATTCTGGGACAAATGAACCAAAGGTCATATATTAAATAACTTTATTAGCTCAACAACCCAGACGCCTCCATGAAGTGCTTCTTCCTTTGGTGCAAGATATCTGTTGGATTTTCAAGGAAAAATTAGAAAATGCTCTTGCAAGAAACATCAATATCATAATGCACAGAGTTTGAACTTCTGGCAAGATGAATGTGACTGAGATCGAAGCTGCCATCATTTTAAGTTAAGGGACAGATTTTGTGTTTTTAATTAAAATTAAATATTAATAATAAAAAGGACGTCCAGACAGTCAGTGATTCACCACTTGCACCCTGTGTCTGATGTTGGATTGGAAGCCTGGAGGAACTGTTGCAGGGATATTTTGCAGGAGGGCAGATAGATGGTTGATCACTTTAGCTGCCAGTCTGTAGCAAGATTCTGTTGTCATGGTGGAACTGAGATTTTCGGGGGGTTTCGGGAGGGACATTTTTAATTTGGGAAATACCCACGTATTTTTAAAGGTAAAAGGTGACTGACAGTTGATTTTGGAAGAGGAACCTGAAATTTGGTGTTGGAATGCAGGTAGGGAGTTTCAGGCTGTAGAAGCACTAGAGTTTCTAAATACAACAGACCTAAGAATTTTTTTTTGTCAACAAAAGAATGTCTTCTTGTTTAATGTTGTGCTAAATTGGACAACCTTAATTCATGCTACTTCTGAGACTTATACTGCATTTTTCTAGGGGCAGAAGGGTTTCTTTTTCAGGGTTCATAATAAACTCAGGTTTCTGTTCTATGCAGAAAGAAACTGAAGACCTCCGAGCAAGACTGGCCGTATTAGAAGCAAAAGATCAACAGCTGAGAAGAGAAATTGAAGAACATGATAGGCTTATTCAGTCACAAGACTGTGAACTGACTGCTTTACTTGGCTGTGTTTCTTTGAAAGAACTCCAGGAAATAAGCAAGGCTGTGGATGACACTTTAGCATCCTCCTATCAAATTCCATTCAGTCTGGATCTTCCAGGGACAATAAAGAGGTATTTAAATTTCAATATGTTGCCAGTGATGTAGAGTCTTTTATCTTCCCAATGTACTGTTGAATTGACTGTCAGTTATTTTCTTGATAATTGTGCCATCTAATTAGCTGGATTCAGACACTTTAAAATTTTTCCAAGAACAGATGCTGAAGTTCTAATTTTAATATACTTCCACAGGAAGGAAGACTTTGTAGTTATTGGAAGGTCTTGCATTTTTTTTTTTTAATGGTACAGAGTCACCTACAGAAAACATATGTATCCATCAACTCTTAATACCTATTATGTGTTTAAATTATCTCTTGTTAACTGGTGGAATTTTTCCCCAGCTTGGTATGCAGTCATTACAACATATTTCTCACAGCCTGAAAGTGTGTACTAGGTACATCCAAATAAATATTAGAGATGCTTCAGTGAACTTCCAATCATAATAAAATCTGATGTTATGGGTGTTAGGCTCAGACTGGGGACTTGAGGTAGTGGGGGAAGGGATGCAGCATGGAGGCTTCCAGGACACCTACAGTTAAATGCACAGTATATGGCTCTTTTAAATCGAAAAGTAGCTAGTCTTGGTAACCTTTTGGAAAGCTCATCTTTATTTACAAAAGCAATAGAAGCACTTCAAGGCCTAAATTTTACTGGCAGTCAATGGCATGTTGGTGATGGAACTTTGAAAGTGTTACTGCTGCTGTGTCGCCAGGACAAAATAAAATTCCTGTTTATCCTAACTTGCATTTCTTCCAGATAAGCAATAACTGTGTTGCTTGCATTTTTTTTTCTCCCTTCATGTTTATTGGATTTAGTTTGATTATATTAACATTCATGAGAAAATGCTGCTCGTGTGCACCAATTTATACATACTTTTTTTTAAAGTCAGCAGAGCTTTTCATAGAGGACACATTTCTCTCTTTTGAGGTTTGTTTAAAATTTTAAATTAGGCTATGGGAAAGAGTTTCTTGAATTAAGTTTAGTTTGTTTTAATAGTGTCTTACACCTGTGTTTCTGAGATTGGGGAATAAAAGGTCTCAAGCAGTCTGTTTGAGAACCTGTGCTTTGATTTGAGCTTTCTCTTAGTTTTGGATTTGCTTGTGAAAGACTATTCAGATTTTTTTTCTCTCGCATTGCTGATGCAGCATTTGAATTGTACTTAAATCTTTGGGGAATTATTTAAAGATGAGTTAAATTAGTACTGGTTCAGGAGGAACTTTGAACAAGTTCTTCACTCTCCAACACCATGAATAGCACAATCACTTGAGGGAGTTCAGCCATTCATTATTTGAAGTGGGTTCAGAACTTTAATGAAGACTTATAATTAATTTATTTCCTTTCTGTTCATTTTTAAAAGATGCCTTGAATGGAAATTTTCTGGTTTAGTTTTGTTTGTTGATGAACTTTGTGTCACCGTGCCGATGAGCAGGTACTTCTGCTCTTTTTACCATATCTGGAGTTCCTGTATTGCAAATGGGGACAGATAAATGCTGGTTTGGGCTGCACAAGTAAGCACACTTAGGTGGGCACCTGTGACAGTCTTCAGGAACAGTTTAAATCTCCTGCATCAGGTTATAGCTGTGTGCTCTTGTCAAACCTCAAAGCCTTTTCTGATCAGAACTAATAGCAATGATTGTAGATGCCCACCTATGGCATGGTCACATGGAGGCTAGAGTCCTTGGTTCAGAATATGGAAGCTCTGCATTTAGGTCCTTTGCAGCCCATCTGGATCTGAACCTACAGCCCCAGAACAAGCTTTTACCTACCAAGGATATCAGTGTCCCGGCAAGGAGCATGCTCCATCGTAGTTCTTAAGCAGGGCCTTACTGTATCCAGGAATGCAAAAGCAGAAATCTGGTAAAAGGCCAGAAGACTAACAGGCAAGAGGAGATATGACTCTGGGAGAGTGAAAGTGGAGGGGACTAATGGTTATAGCACTCAGCTGAGATGAGGGACCTGGTGGCCGTAGTTGTGGAAGGAGTGGGAACTCTCCATTGATGAAGTGCTAGATTTTTATTATTTTTTTTTCTGTCTTCTTTTTTCCCAATTTAAAAGCAAAGTGAGCTGGTAGGAATGTGTCACAACCTGGCTGATGCAGCCTTTCAAAGAAGCAAGACAGCAGTCACTGCCTATTCAGCAGCTTCTCTCCTTTCTGCAGGAGATGGTGGCTCTCTCTAAATGAAAACACCTTGGAGCTGTTTTCTCTACATGATGTGGCTTCCTGGTAAATTCCTTTCAAAATCTGCCTAAGTCTTGTATACGGGGTGTATGCTGTGCCTACTGCTCTGTTGAAAAAATGTGCAAACTGCCTTGAGAGCAGAGACTGAAATCTCCAGTCCAGGAATGTGATTCAACCACCTGACTTTATCATGTCTCCCCTTCCTTGCCTTTAGTTCTCAAATCTCTTCCCTCGAACTGCTTGCTACTTTAGGTGGCTGAAAGTATCCCAGAGCTGCTCTTATGTGATGGTCAACAGGCACGTTTCCAGCATGGATTCTCTGCCACTTCTTGCTTTCAGGACTGGCGATATATTCAGAAGGGCTGGGGGGAAGGATATGCTCCTACAACAATTGTGGTTAATTAGCAGTGAGAGTTAGGCTCACTTTTAAACAGAACAAAGTAATGAGTGTCTTCCTTATAAAGCTGTGAAGTCCATCATACTTCAAGCATAGTAATCTTATGTCTGTATCTGGTTATGTTCTGTTCTCTTTCTGTAAGCAGCAAGCAGGTATTAAGTGTGGATATACTTCCCATGTACCTATGGGCATCCCCTACACTGTCATACCATTATAGAATAATTAAGGGGGTTATCTTGTCAAACCCCTGCTCAAAACAGGGCCACAATTTCCAAGAGAGATCAGGTCACCCCATCTATCTGAGCTTTGCATATCTCCAAGGATTGAGATTTTGCAGCCTTGCTGGGCATCCTGCATTTCGCCACCCTTGTTGTGAACTTTTTTTGTCTCTTATCTACCCAGAATTTCCCTTGTTGCAACTTGCATTGGCTTATCCTAAATTGTTCTTGTGAAAGGTGATTGTATATTAGATGACAGGTTAAAATACTTGACGAAGCCAATTCAGCATATTAGTTTTAAATTCCAGAGTCTTGGGATATTTGATGTGAAAGAGATTTTTCTGGAAATTTACACATTATTTTATGAATCATTGTAGAGGAAAAGAATATTAAAGTCTTCTAAATTTAGGTTTATCTGTGTGAGAAATAAAGCTATTACTCGTGCACTTATACTAACAATCAATGCTTATCTAGAAAGTTGTTCAGTATTGATGGGCTGTAAATGACAAGCTCCCGCGTATTGGGTTGCGAGATACTATGTATTTATTCTAAATGCATTGTGCTAGTCAGTAAAGTACTACTATAATGTGCTTTTGCATAATTATTTGTAGAATACATGAATTGCATTGAGCACTGCAATAACACAGGGCTGATGTGAAGCATCTCTTAAGACAATCTGTGCGATAATAAATCATATTGAGTGGCTTACAGCTCACTATGAAATACAAATTATTTTGATTTTCTTGGTCTAAACGCTATTAAATAGCAACTTATTAAAGCAAACTTCAGGGACTGTGAGAGAACATCTTAAATGAAGAATAATTGCCCAGGTAGAAGTGTGCAGAAGCAAGAGAGCAAGTCAGTGTAACTTTGGGCTGAGCATTGTTTCTAAGCTTATTTTTCTTGTCAAACATTGTTATATTCAGGAAGATTAATAATGCTTTGTTTTGTTTTGTTTATCTTCAATGCCTGGTGGACTTTTTGAAAACAAAAAGCCTTTATCGCCATGCTTTGAGTCTGAAGAATTGAGAAATGTTAGATGCATTACCCTAGGATCTTTCTTGAGGGCCGTTGGAAGCCAAGGTTAAAACCTGGCCAGTTAACGTGCTGACAAATATGTTAGCTTGTGTTTTGACAGAGTTTCTCATTGAGGTTGAGACCACAGAATGTGGTTGTTTTGCTCATCCGGACAGGCCTAATTGCTCTTAGTAAACTGAAGGGCGTGATCATTATTATAAAACAAGGAAATTGCAGTGCAAAATCTCAGTTTGCTTGCATGGGGTTGCGTGGAGATGTGTTTAAAAAGTGGGAGCAGCTGGTGTTGTGTGCACCATGACACATGTCTGTGTTTTAACTGAAGACAACATACTGAAATTAGAGGTTAATAGGTCTGAGTATTTCAGCATGAAGTACTTTCTTCTAGAGATTGCTAAAGGTAGCAAAATATATCATTTCTGTATCTTCTAGTGAAGGAGACACCATTTCAGAAATATGTGTTTTTAACTAGTATAACCTGAATCTTCTAATTATAAAATAAGACCATGTTAATTATTTGACTTATTCTTTTCAGTACCTGTTGTTTCCTTTTCTTGTTTCTTTTCATTTCACAATGAAAACTGAGGAAGTCTATTATACTTCTGTTCATATTTAGTTTAATTTAGCACTTTCTCTTTTGGTTTTATCCATATCTACAGATGCATGTGACTGTATAGCATGTCACCATTAAAATAAATTGCACAGTTCCATCCGGACTATTGTCTGTGCACTGAATGCTGGTGGAAAGAAGGAAATTCAATTAAATATCTTTCAAAATATTTGAATACTCCACCTCTTCTTCCACCCTTCCCATGGAACCATTTTTAATTAGTAGGAATTTGTTCCACAGTGGGTGTGGAGAAGATAGGGTAATTCTTGATTCTGTATATTAGTTATTATAGTACTGTCATGGCCAGTGGCGCAAGGAACTGAACTTGAAGTTTATGCAACCAGTTCACTCTGTTTTAGTGATGCCTGGAGCTTATCTGACAAAGATTAATTCAAAGTGAAATACAAATGCTCAGGGGGTTGAAAACCTTATTAGTTGGAATATACTCAAAGCATTCGGCAACTTCAGTTGAGGCCAAAGCCTGATAAAGCCAAAAAAGGTGGGGTTTTTAAGAGGTTCATTTGGGAAAAGTTGGAAGAAAAAGACTTATACACGGTTTCACATATTAACTTGGCA